TTAACTAACCTAACCTAACCTAACCTAACCTAACCTAACCTAGGCCGTTACCGAAACCTAACCTAACCTAACCTAACCTAACCTAAACCTAACCTAGCCGAACCGAACCTAAACCTAACCTACCTAACCTAACCCCTAACCTAACCTAACCCTAACCTAACCTAACCTAGCCAACCGAAACTCGAACCGGAACCGATAACCCGGAACCCTAACCTAAGCCTAAAACTAACCTTGACCTAACCTAACCTAACCTAACCAAACCTAACCTAAACCTAACCTAACCTAACCTAACCTAGCCGAACCGAACCGAACCTAACCTAACCTAACCCTAAACCTAACAACCTAACCTAACCTAACCTAACCTAAACAACCTAGCCGAACCAACGAACCTAACCTAACCTAACCTAACCTAACCTTAACCTAACCTAACCTAACCTTAACCTAACTAACCTAGTCCGAACCTAACCTAACCTAACCTAAACCTAACTTAACCTAACCAACCTACCTAGCAGAACGAACACAACCTAACCTAACTACCTACACCTAACCTAAAAAAAAAAACCGTAACCTAACCCTAAAAACCTAACCGTAACCTAACTAACCTAACCTAGCCGAACCTTAAACCTAACCTAACCTAACCTAACCTAACCTAACCTAACCTAACCTAACCTAACCAACCTAACCTAACCTAACTAAAACCTAACCTAGCCCGAAACCGAACCGACTAACCAAACCTAAGCCTAACCTAACAACCTAACCTAACCTAACCTAAACCTAACCTAACCGTTAAGCCTAAAAAAAACCAACCCTAATAAAGGCCCTACGGAAAACTAAACCTAACCTAACCTAGCCGAACCTAACCTAACCCGAACCTAACCTAACCTAACCTAACCTAACCTAACCTAACCTAACCTAACCTAACCTAGCCGAACCGAACCCTAACCCTAAAAGTTTAACATAACATATCATAACATAAACATAACCGAAACCTAACCAAACCCTCCTACCAGGACCCCAACCTAATTCTTTACCCTAACCCCAGGCCCCCAAGAACCTTAACCTAACCCCCAACCCCAAAAGGCAGGACCCCCAATACCTAACCAAACCTCCTCCAGGACCCCCAAGAACCCCTCCTCCAAGCAGGACCCCAACCTAACCAAACCTGCCTCACCCAAGGCCCCCAAGACCCTAACCTAACCCCAAAACCCACCTTAGGACCCCCAAGACCCCTCCTCCAAGCAGGACCCCAACTAACCCCAACCTTCCTTCACCCCAGGCCGGAGCACGTGACCTCCGACGCCCTGGCCCTCGAGTACCTCCGGACGGACCCCGCCGGCAGGAAAACGTCCCTCATCAAGTTAAACAGGATACGAGCCCCCGAACTTCACGGGACACTTCGGAGTCTGGTTGGACAACGACCTGTGGACGTAAGTGGGCGTGGGGATCGGTGGAGGTGGGAAATTGGTGTGTTTGGGGCGTTGTGTGTGGGTGTTGTTTGGGTGCAGGGTGTGTAGTGTTGTTATGGTGTAAGGTGTGGTTGTGTGTGTGTGGTGTGTGTGTGAATGACTGTGTGTGTGTGTGTGTGTGTCACATATATGTGCGTGTGTGTGTAAGGGTGTGTGTTGCTGTTTGGTTGTTGTGCCGTGGAAGTGTAGGTGGAATGGGGGTGGTTGGTTTGTGTGGCAGGGTGTGTGTTGTGTTAAGGGGTGTGTGTGTGTAAGGTGTATGTGGTGTGCTGGTTGTGCGTGGGTGTAGGGTGTTGGTTGTGATGGTTGTGTGTGGCAGGGTGTGTGTGTGTGTATGTGTGTGTGTGTAGATGTTGTGTGGTGTGTGGTATAAGGGTGTGTGTGTGTGTGTGTGATTTTGTAGGTGTTGGAGGTGATTGAGGTTGTGTGTGTTGTATGTGTGTATGTTTTGTGTGGTGTGTTCCTGGTTGAGTTGTTATATCATTATATTATTACAATTATTACTGTTGCTGCTTTTGATTATCATCACCATCATTCATCATCCACATCGTCAATCTACCATTTTGATTCTTCATTATCACTTCGAGTAGCATTTTATCGGGCATTATCAATTCTCTCTGCTCTCTCTCTCTCTATCTATCTAATCCTATCCATCTCTCCTATCAATCTATTCTATCTCTCTCTCTATCAATCCTTCAGTTCCACAATCCTCAAGGGAATAATGCAACTGTTATCTATACCACAGGCGCTAATCTGAAAAAATCTCCCAATCTCCGCCCAATCGGCCACCCCTAATCCCCCCTCTCCCCCCCTCTCCCCCCACAACAAAAAGTGTGTGTGTAACCCCCTCCCGCCCGGTCCGACCTCCCCATACTCCCCTTTCGGTCCACAATCTCACCCTCTCCCCGCCCCCCCCCCCCCCCCCAACCCACACCCCCCCTCTTCTCTCTCTCTGCCTCTCTCTCTCCTCTCTCTCTCTCTCTCTCTCTTCTCTCTCTCTCTCTCTCTCTCTCTCATCTCTCCTCCACCTTCTCTCCGTTTTCTCCCTCTCCATCCTTCCCTCTCCGCACCTTGCTCCACTCTCCTCCCCCTCCCCCCCTTCCCTCCCTCCCCACCAACCTTCCCCATTCTCCTCATCCCCTTCCCTCTGCCCCTCCTCTCCCACCCCACTCTCCCACCCCTTCCCTCTTTCCCCTCTCTCTCTCTCTCTCTCCCTCTCTCTCTCTCTCTCTCTCTCTCCTCTCTCTCCTCTCTCTCTCTCTCTCTCTCTCCCATTATTTGGTCTATTTTTTTTTTTAGGTAAATATTTTTTTATATTGTAGTTATTTCCCTTCCCTCTTCCCTCTCACCCCAACCACCCCCTTTCTCTCTCTCTCTCTCTCTCTCTCTCTCTCGCTCTTCTCTCTCTCTCCTCTCTCTCACTCTCTCTCTCTCTCTCTCTCAAATCTCTCTCTCTCTCTCTCTCCCTCTATCCCATCTCCCTCTCCCGCTCCCTCTATCCCCTCTCTCTCTCTCTCTCTCTCTCTCTCTCTCATCTCTCTCTTACTCTCCCTCTACCTGCTCCCTCTTTCCTCTCCACCATCTCCCTCTCCAACTTCACTCACACCTTTCCCCTTTCCCCCCTCTCCCTTCTCCCCTACATCTCCCCTCTCATCCGCTCTTCCCTTCAACCGCCCTCCACAGTCATCCTCTGACCTCCTCTCCCTCTCTCCCCTCTCTCGCCTCCCTCTGCTCCATCTCTCTCTACCTCTCTCTCTCATCGTCCTCTCTCTTCTCTCTCTCTCTCTTCTGCTGCTCTCTCATCTCTCTCTCTCTCTCTCTCTCTCTCTCTCCATCGATTCCCTCTTCTCCGTCTCTCCTCTCTCTGCTTGCTCTCTGCTTTCCTTTTCCTTCTCTCTCTCTCTCTCTCTCTCTCTCTCTCTCTCCTCTCTCTCTCTCACGCTCTCCTCCTCTCCCTCTCTCTCTACCTGCTCTCCCTCTTGCCCCTCCCTCCCCTCCCGCCCTCTCTCACTCACCCTTATCTCCTCCCTCGCCACTAACTTCTCTCTTCTCTCTCTCGCCTCTCTCCTCCTTCTCTCTCTTCTCTCCTCTCTCTCCTCTCTCTCGTCTCTCTCTCTCTTCTCTCCACTCTCGTCTCTTCTCTGGCGTCTCTCCTCTCCCTACTGCCCTGGCGCTCCTCTTCCCTCCCCTCCCTCTTACCGCTGATCTCTCTCTCTCCTCTCTCTCTCTTCTCTCTCTCTCTCTCTCTCTCTCTACTCACTCTCTCTCTCTCTCGTCTGCTCTCTCTCTCTCTCTCTCCCTTCTCCCTCTCCCTCTCCCTCTCCCTCATCCCTTTTCCCTAGTCCCGCTCAGGACCTCTGCCCTCTCCCCTCCCGTCTCCCTCTCTCATCTCTCCCTCTCCCTCTCCCTCTCCCTCTCCCCTCTCTCTCTCCCTCTCTCTCTTCCCTCTCCCTATTGCGCCGCCTATACCAAGCGTATTTGTCAATCATACTTACGTAGTTAGGAATATTTGGCCATACCTTTTGTCAGTAGTCCAGTAGCAAAGACATTTATTCGGTAGGAAAAAAGTCTTATTTAAATAGTATGCATAATTGAACGTTGGGGTTGGACTATTAAATTTTTAAAAATAGACTGGATTATTTTAGATCTTTGCATTTCTTAAGAAAATGTAATTGGTATGCGTGATTGTTATTATTGTCTTTTTCTTCTTCTGTTTTGTTGTCTGTTTTTTTTTTTTTTTTTTTTATTTTTTGGGTCATGCAAAATATTGTAGATTAAAGGGTGTTGAAGATGCTAATACGACTTTGCATGTTAAAGGTGTGTGTTGCTTGCTTTGCCTCTGAGGTCAAGATTTATATCTATACGCCAAAAAAAAGATAGATAAAAAATAAAATAGAGATAAAATATTTATGGTTCAAACGCTCTTTTATGAGTTTCTTCGGAGCAAGAAAATTCCTCAGCTGATTTTAGCAAGTTTTTTTGAAGATAGAGAAAGGGGAAGAAGTCAATGTCTTTCTTTTTGTTTTGTTTTGTTTTGTTTTGTTTCATGTTTATTTTTCTGTCTATTCTCAGTTTATATCTGTTTGAGATTTGTTATATCTTTCTTTTTTTTCTAGCTCTCTCGCTTCTCTGTCTATTTATCTATCTATCTATCTTTCTCAATTTTTTCTAGTCTCTCTTTTTTTCTCTCTCTTGTTTTCTAGTCTCTCTCTCTTTTTTTCCTAGTCTCTCTCTCTCTCTCTGTCTATCTTATATCTATCTATCTATCTATCTATCTCCCTTCTCTCTTTTCTCCCTCTCTTCTCTCTTCTCTTTACCCCCCCTCTCTCTCTCTCTCTCTCTCTCTCTCTCTCTCTCTCTCTCTCTCTCTCTCTCTCTCTCTCTCTCTCTCTCTCTCTCTCTCTCTCTCTCTCTCTCTTCTCTCCTCTCTCTCTCTCTCTCTCTCTCTCTCTCTCTCTCTCTCTCTCTCTCTCTCTCTCTCTCTCTCTCTCTCTCTCCTCTCTCTCTCTCTCTCTCTCTCTCTCTCTCTCTCTCTCTCTTTCTATCTCTCCTATCTTTTCTCTCTTTTTCTAGTCTCTCTCTCTCTCTCTCTCTCTCTCTCTCTCTCTCTCTCTCTCTCTCTCCTCTCTCTCTCTCTCTCTCTCTCTCTCTCTCTCTCTCTCTCTCATCTCTTCTCTGTCTATCTATCTATCTATCTTTCTCTCTTTTCTCTCTCTCTCTTCTCCCTCCCTCTCTCTCTCCCTCCCTCTCTCTTTCCCTCCCTCTCTCTCCCTCTCTCTCTCTCTCTCTTTCACTAAGATGATTGCCCTCCTTCCCCCTATCCCTCCCCCCCCCCTCGCTTAATATAAATTGCAACAAGGTTATTGATTATTAGATTGCTGATAAAAGGTTTCATGTGTGCCAGCTTTATTATAATGCATTTTTTTTTTTTTTTTTTTTTTTTTGGGGGGGGGTATTTTGCATGTCTTACTTTGTCTGTATTTTTGATGTTATTTTTAAACTATTGATGATATTTTTGGACTTAGATTCACGTGTTGTGTCATTTTGTCTCGAGTCAGTTTCAGATTTTTAATGAGGATCATAGATTGGTATCACCACTTTTGATATCACTATCATCATTTATCATTTCTTTCATCGTCAGCATTATCATCATCCTCTTATTGGTATATATCACTACATCGTTATCATCAACATTATCTATCCTCTTTTTGGTATTATTATCAGTTTTTTTTTTACCATTGACGAACGACCACAACCACCAACAGTAACAACAACAGTAATAATAACAACAACAACAGTTAATAAAACAACAACAACAGTAATAATAACAACAAACAGTAAATAATGGCAACACATAAAAAGTACATTTAATAAACCAACAATAGTAATGAATAATACAGCAATAGTAATTAATAAAACAGCAAAGACTAATTAACAACAACAACAAGAGTAATAACAATGACCAACCACTGATAACTCGATCTAATCCTCCATCTTCCTCTTCCACCTTCTCCACCCGCTCCTCCTACTTCCTCCTCCTCCTCCCCAAGCTCCTTCCCCACCACCTCCTCCCACCACGCACCACCTCCTCTCTCCTCCCCCACCTCTTCCTCCTCCTCCAACCTCCTCCCCACCACCACCACCTCCACCACCTCCTCCACCACCCTCCTCCTCTCCTTCCCCACCTCCACCACCTCCTTCTCCTCCTCTTCCTCCCTGCAGGATAACATGGACTTACGCCACACTGCGAGCGCCTTCAGTGAGGTCGCCCGGGGGCCACCGTTCCGTGACGTCACGGGGTCTGGACGAGTGGGAGGCGGACGTACCCGCTGGCGCGCTGAGGGAGAAGGACCCGAAAGCGTGCCCCCGGAGGTCGACCCGTGCACAAGAGGTGGGGGGCGTGTTGTGTGTGTGTGTGTGGGGGGGGGGGGAAGGGGTTGTGGGGGAGGGTTGTGGGTGCGAGGGGAGGGGAGAAGGTCGATCAAGTGCACAAGAGGTGGGTGGTGGGGGGGGAGGTATGAGGAGGGGTTGTGGGGAGGAGGACGGGGTTGTGGATGCGAGGGGGGAGGGGGGGCGAAGGACCCCGAGAAGCTGCCCCCGGAGGTCGACCCCGTGCACAAGGAGGTGGGTGTTGTGTGGGGGGGGAGGGGAGAGAAGGACCCCTAGAAGTCGACCCCGTGCAGAAGGAGGTGGGTGTTGTGTGTGTGGGGGGAGGGGGGGGGGGAGGGGTTTGTGTGGGAGGGGTTTGGGGAGGGGAAGGGGGTTTGTGGGATGGGGGGAGAGGGGGGAGGGAGAAGGACCCCGAGAAAGCTGCCCCCGGAGGTCGACCGCCGTGCACAAGGAGGTGGGTGTTGTGTGGGGGGAGGGGGGGAGGGGAGAAGGGACCCTAGAAGGTCGACCCCGTGCAGAGGAGGTGGGTGTTGTGTGTGTGGGGGGAGGGGGGGAGGGGGGGTTGTGTGGCGAGGGGGTTGTGGGGGAGGGTGTGTGGGATGGGGGGAGGGGGGGAGGGAGAAGGACCCGAGAAGCTGCCCCCGGAGGTCGACCCGCGTGCACAAGGAGGTGGGTGTTGTGTGGGGGGAGGGGAAGGGGAGAGAAGGACCCGAGAAGGGACCCGTGCACAAGGAGGTGGGTGTTATGGGGGGAGGGGGGAGGGTTGTGGGATGGGGGGGGGAGGGAGAAGGACCCCGAGAAGCTACCTCCGGAGGTCGATCCCATGAAGGAGGTGGGTGTTGTGGGGGATGTGGGGAAGGCGGGGGGAGGAGAAGGGACCGAGAACTTACAGAAGAATATAGTTTTGGAAGGCTGTAAGAGAGAGGTCATGAGGGCTGTGGTTACAGGAATGCATATTTCTCGGATGGGGAAATTCATACCCATATGGCTTGCAGAGACGTGGTGGAACTGTGGGCGTGGAGAGAGGAGGAGATCAGGAGGTGTGGGGAAAGAGTGAAATAAAAAAGATGGGCGTGGGTGTATGAGCGTGGAGAGAGAAAGGCAAAGATGTATATGGAAGTGTGAGGAGGGAAAGGTATTTGTG